TTACCCAAATCCCAAGTACCTAATTATTGGGTACTTGGACCCTAAACCCTAAGCCCAAAAAGGTCCAGTCAGATTGAGAAGTGCAAGGAACCAGTTCTCTGTGGGCACCATGAACCTGAGCTTTGCCTCTTGAAAGATTTCAATCGGGAGTCCGAAGCCCGGCTTAGGGTGTAGGGTTTAAGGGTTTATGAGGTTTAGGGTTTAGGCTTTTAGGAATTTAGGGCTTTAGGGGTTTTAGGGTCTCAGGAAACTCCAAGGTGACGACCAAAGTTGTCGTTGTCAGCTCATCTTTGGTCATGAGCTGTGGCACCTAAGCTCATGGGTTTCAGACTTGTACCCCTAAGGTTGTACCCCTGGGTTTTGGGATCCTTTTAAGGGAGTGTAGGGAACTACATTGGCCCGTATAAGGGCTATTTTGGGGCTATATTGGGTAAACTTTTTAGGGATACGACCCTGGGGGTAGCTTCTATTCGGCAACCTAGAAACCAGATATGGAAGAGGAATGGGAATCTGCTCGTACCTCGACGCCTCCCAAACCCATCGTCCTGCGACCTGGAGGTTTTGAACGCCACGAACACAATATTGGACATGCTTTCTGAAACCCACCCGCCATCCCTAAGATCGAAGCCACAACCATGAACCCTAGACCCCAAACCCCGAGGCCGCAAAACCTGAACCTCGAAACGCTAGACCCACACTCGAAACCTCTGAGCTGCAACCACCTGCGTCACCTATTCAGGAACTGCTGCTTTGTATGGTCTAATGGTTGGAAACTGCAATGGCATTAAAATTATCACCTTCACACTGAAGTTTTTGAGAATACACGTGGTAGTTTCTCACAATAAGAGCACCCCAATATAGACCCCAAAATACCCTAATCCTTATCATAGAGACCCTGAACCCTAAACCCTTATATACCCCCCTGTATATCCCCTATATAATCCCTATATCCCTCCAAAGGAACACCTAATTTTTGGCAAACCCCCTATATTCTTTCCACCTGCAGATGCTGACCCGGAAAGAGACCGAGACTTTGTTTCCACAGGGATGCCTTGGACTATGGGTAGGCATCCTAAGCCTAGGAACTCGATATACTTCAGATTTTGGCGTTCAACCATGGCTTTTGTCCGGGGTTTTCCACTTCACCCCAAACCCTAATAATTTTCAGCTTCACGCTTGTCCCTTGAGTCGCGTCGCCTTGAATTCGAAATTCTGTAGCAGCATACCTTTGGTACTACCCCCCACCGTGAAACAGTCTATATTAGGGGTCATATTAAAGGCTATATGATAGCTAGTGATAACTCCTAATATGGCTCCTAATATAATAAATATATATATATCTATATATATATATGTATACGTGTACATATGTATATTTCTAATACGTACGCAAAGCATACTTGTCCGGCCCTACGCCCTGAGCTGGTTTTGAGGCCAGGCTTTGTGACTGCCCATTTAGGGTTTAGGGTTTAGTGCCTGAATCCCAAACCCGAAGCCCTTCACCCCAAAAGCGGCAAAAATTCTGAAGCCTGCTTTGAATCTATAGGGCTTAGGGTTTCAGGGGTGTACCTGGACCCCCAAAGTATGTAGAATCATGGACGTTTAGGTGCACATACCCAGGCCTGCCAGGATTTGGGCCCCTGCTCCCATCTGCAACACTAGGGATGGCTCGATCTGTGCCTTGGCCAGCTGGGTTTTGAGGGTTTAAAGGGTGTTAGGGTTTAGGGATGAGGATAAATGTCA